TAAAGATATCACCATTCAGGATAATAATCATATATATTTTTATATAAATTCATGAATAGGTAACTCTTTTACCTTCTGTAAGAATGCTGACATGCTATGATTCACCACTTTCTGGCTTGCTCTAATGTAAATGAACAGAAGCTAGTAGTTTCTGCTATTTCCTAAGCATGAATTGTTTAAGTCTCAACTACCATTTCTAACCAAGAAGGCATAATACTGCTTAGGAAATTTTACACAGGGATTTGACATACCTCATCTGGAGGACACATCTTATCAGATCTTGTATTATTCATTTTTTCTCCCTTTTTCTTACATACATATTTAAGTTTCTCTTCACATGATTGGACTTTCCACTGACCTAGCTTTTAAAAAAGAGACAAAAGTATTTGCTCACAAAAGAAATTATTTGTCATATATTTAGAATTGAACTCACAAAAACTATGAAAAAGAGAGAGGGAAAGAGAAAGAGAGAGAATGAATGAATATAAATGAATAAGTATGAGCACACACTCCTAGAAAATGCTACCTAACAGGGCTGCAAGTTGTGACTCACAGCCTGTTATTTCAACATCACCTCAAGGTCACGTTGTGGATGAATTCATTTTCTTATGAGAGTAACAATAAAACCATCAAAAGACACTTGGTATGGAAGTTCAAGAGAGAAGAACTCAGCCCACAGTTGCCAGCCTTCTAGTCTTCTTCCATATGACACGGCAAAGTTTGTCCACACGTAAAAAACTTTAAGGAACGTCAATTAATCTCCCTGTCTCAGTTTCCTCATATGTAAAATGATGGTGGTTAGAACAGCTACTCTCCAAGAATTCTAAATCAAAAGTTTCTTTCAACTCTACTTCAGCCTAGATTTCAAAGTTTTCTCTTTCAAATATGCTACTTAACATTAATTTTCCTTAATTGACTAAGTCACTCTGCTTTCTTCAAATTAAATTTTAATAAGTCAGTTGTGATAAGGGTCAGTTTTGGACATTGGAATGCTGTCTAAGTATGCCATCAGTTCGCTCTTCCTCATGGGATCTTATTTCCATTTTTGCTACTCTTCTAAAGACATCTTGGCTATCCTTTTAAATAGAGCACCAAATATGACACCTTTCTAAATACATCTTTACTACTGAAACATTTCTAAATACACATACCGTTTATTGCTTCCACTCAAGTCTCTCTGGATGTCTGGATGACACAGTTACCCTCATAATCAGTTAGAAGTCCACAGGAAAGTGATATAAACAAACAAATAGAGGTACATATACCCTTTCTGCTCAAAATATATCCTATTTTGGGTTCTTAACTAAAGCATGTTTAACAAATGTTAGACATTCTATAGGAGTACAATGTTTTCTGAACAAAGACCTAACTTTTAAGTAAAAATATTTTTTTACTTCTCAAAGTAGGATTAATATAAAACAATCTGAACATGAATTCAGAAGATGAAAATTTTCAAGTTAAATTGTGGCTACATGCCAAATATCACATTATGGCAGAAAGGAGGGTAGAGACCCTCGTCCTGAGAGGTTATTAGAACCAGTCTGGCAAAAGAATCTAAGTCCTAACAGGATTCTCTGTATCTGTTTCAGACCAGAGAAGATGATCTCAGTAGGAAGTAGGTTGGTTATTTAGTAATTGCTTTTATTTATCTTTTTTCAGTAGCTACCAGAAAGACAATCTACAGGGCTCTTACCTTTTATTTTCTTTCCTGCTTGA